GAAAAAAAGAGAGGAACTGGAGAGGAAAACATGCAATAAAAAGTAACACAGAAAAAAATGAACAAAGTAAAAATTGTCATCTAGAAAAAAGGAGGAAAATGAGCGACAGGGGAGAAAGCACGAATGGGAGAGAAAAAAGAAGCAGACAGGGAAAAGAGAGAAAGAGGGGAGAGAGGGAAAAGAGGGGAAAGGGGAGAGAGAGAGAGAGAGAGAGAGAGGGGGGAGGGAGAGAGAACAGCAGGAAAGCGAGGCGTCATCGTCGACCAGCCCGGCGGACGGAGAGGTGCCAGCCAGCACCCGGGTACGGCCGCCAGGCCGGCCGATACATTTATAATGGGGTTAAGTGGAAGACGCGATGGGTCAGAGCCAAGTTTCCGTCTCAGTCTCCTCAAAGGCGAGCGGCGGCCGCGCTCAGAGTGAGGCTCTCATAAATATCAATGACGATGATTTGGTCGGCAGCTAGCGCCTCGAAGAGAGCCATCAGTCAGGTCACGGACTCACAGCAGCATACTGGTGCCAAGAAGCGGCCAAGTTTTACAATTTCAGTCATCATGCATCCACTGGCAAACTTGTCTGTTTGACGTGGAGGGAGCTGCTAAGGTTTCCAAGAGCGTGACAAAGAGTCGTTCAGCAGTGTTATGGGAATACATTCTTTTTCTGATCGTGTTCGAGATTATATAAATGCATAGAACTACCAAGATTGCGTCATTGACTGCTATAATGCATCGCAGGCGAATCATGTAGGACTTCCCATACCTGTGGGTTGGATTATCAGTTAATAGACCTCAGATATTCGATTCGGTGCTTTATATGGCATATCATTTTGACTGGTAAGAATGATGTATTGGGCTATAAATCATGTGATATTAATTTTGAAGGAAGAAATTTCATGATTCAGCTGTATGGTGTTGCATCATATTCAGGGAGTTCTATGATTTTTTTAAATGAAAATAATAAGAGAGAGAGAAAGAGAGAGAGAGAGAGAGAGAGAGAGAGAGAGAGGGAGAGAGAAACAGAGACAGAGACAAAGAGAGAGAGAGAGAGAGACAGAGACAGAGACAGAGGGGGGATAGGCTGGCTGTCGATCGGGCCGCTGCAGAGGGTGGCGGTGTGCTCTGGTTAGTACCGCCGCAGTCCCCTGGGCCGTCTATTTCCGGCGCTGAGGCCCGCCGGGCGACATTCCCACCTGGTCAGCAGGCCTGCAGCCGACCAGATGACCGTCCACCGTGACCCCGCCCAAAGGCCCGCCGACCAAATCGAATCACACGCTCGACGCTTAACAGTCTCGACCGGTTAGGTTAGATCCATCGCGCTGATTTAGCAGTTTCTCGCAGTTCTGCCGGGAGCGGCGCCGTTCGTGGTTGGATTTCGGACAGTGTTAGTTCGTGCCTTATAATTCGACGACACAGTGCCCAGGAACAGTTGCTTCATTAGTGTGACAGATCGGTCCAGAAACTTTCACTTGGACCTCAGAAGTTTTACAGTGCAACCAGTCGACCGCAGTGGCACGTGAACAGCTGACGATCCTTTTTAACCGCCCTCATAATCTTTGCACTTTTGAGGCTAGCATTTTGACTAAATGCGATGTAAACATAACTATTGAACGTTGTTAATTCAGCTACTGCATTACCTACCACGTTTATACGAAGAATGGTGACATTTTTCATTCGCTATCCTTAGATGTCACTGAAATATCACTTGAACGTCTGGAATTTCTTTGGCAGGAGCTTAAAGATAAAATCGAAGTAACGAGCAATGTTTTTTACAACTGGGTTTGACGCGGTAATTCATTGTTTGGCGCTGGTTCCTGCGCCTGCAGCCACAAATAACATCTGAAGACATGGGAACCTTATTTCAAGGTATGACAGCCGAACGTTCAGCCTCCGCTTCGATTTAAATCGTGTAAAACGTCGGCTTCTATAAAGTGAACTTGGAATAAAGTGAACTTGGAAGTAAACATAAGTGTGAAGGGAGCGGCATGGCGACCAAATAGCAACACTCTCGGTTCTTGTACATAATATGCAGCACTCAAAACAGTCGAGTTATCCGTCCAATTACACATCAAGCTCGCCCACATCGCTTAAATTCCCAGCCGGCATCGTTTCGAGAGACTCACCAAACCAAACAGCGTCTGCCGTCTCCGTAAATTGCCCGAGCGCGTCCGGCGAGCTTTCTTTCCACACAGCTGCCGACACGGCACGACGATTCTGCGTGCCGCAGAAACCAAATGTTTGCTCAGCTGAATCCAATATTAAGCACCGATGATTGTTTTTCTCTGCGTTGTTCCTCTCCGCCAGCGCGGAGCGAGCGCTGTCCGCCCGCGGAGACTGGGATCCGCGGAGGCGCGGAGAGGATGTTAGCTGGGCGAGCCGGCTGCCTGAGTAGGTAGGCTGTACCGCATGACCGGTGTGTCGAGCGGCGCAGCCTACCTACCAGTCAGCGGCGGTACGGCTACTGCAGGACCCTTGAGAATCCCGAATGGCGAATCTGCCCCCTTCAGATGCTCAATGCGCATATACACTTATTATACACGTAAACTTTTCATAATGTAGCACTGAAGCATCTATTTTCGGTTCTTTTATCACGAGCAAAACAACAACCCTTTTCAGTTTGTATTTCATTGCAGGGAACGGAATCACAACATGATGCATGCAAAAGCAAGCTATCTAGCCCACATTGCTTTACGCTATTTTCACTAACTTGAAGACGCCACCCACGCGGTTAATATCAGCAGATTCTCGGGACGTACCCGGGGGAGAAAAACCAATCAGCGTGGTGGACCCAGTGAGCAGACAGGTCGGGAATAAGTGCAGCGGAATCGCGCTCAGCCCCGGGGGCTGCACGGTGCCAGTTTTATCACGGGGTTACCAGTTTTAGCACTGGGCTGGGAACGGCCAGCTTTAGCCTCGGCACTGGATGCTCTCAGAGTTGGCATCTCCCCATCGACTGAGCGCCACACGGCCGTCCAGAAATAGAACGCCCCTAGCGTTCGAACGCTTTACGCGATTTTCCACACTGATCTGGGAATAAAATGGCAGCGGTAGCGGCGTACAAATATTACAAGGCTGAAAACTCGGCCCCGTTACTGTATTGCTCTCAGCCGGATCTACTTGAATGCCTGCTGGCACTTATCGGCCAGACATAAATATGAAACTGGAGAGCAGATACACACATTTCTAGTGCGGTGACCGCAGAACATGCTTACGAATGATAACGTTAATCACGCGAATCATGCAAATTATATTCCGACGTTATGATGAATCAGATTCTACGGCGAGCAGCGATGATTGAACTCATATGTAGTCTTTACTGTCTAAATAAGCAATAAAACATGGTATTGGGTTAAATTCAAGGAGTGAACAGTTTGGGTGACACCCAGGACCACTACCCTGCCAGAGCGAGCCCCCGACTCTTTCGTTCCCACCACATCTTCTCAGACCTCTCAACCCGGCTCGCCGCCAGCTCGGGTTGCAGACAGGCTTCCACACAGTTTCGTCTGAGCAGGATGTGTTGGCCGTTTTTCTACGGACCTTCACCAGCGCAGTGGCGGGGATATCACATTAGCCGGGTGTGTGTAGTCCGCACCGTGCGCCTCGCATTTCCACATCAGAAATGGGACCCGCAGCTGACAGAGCGAGTTTACGAGGGGCGAGGTCGGAGGCAGGGCTGGAGAAACGCCGGACGGATGGCCCAGTGAAGGGTGTTTGTTACCCCGGCTGATTAAAGAGAGTGAGCTTTGTAATCCAGCAGACAATAGCTCTTCTTCAACGGCGTGTATGCGTGCGTGCTAAAGTGGAGCTGTGGACCCGGGGTAAGAAAAATACCCTGGTTTCATAATTCGACCTAATTAACCTAATTAAAAAAAGAAGAAAATCAAAAGACAAATATGAACCACGATGAAACAAATATAATATCAACTCCGACAATATTTTAACAGTAAGTTAAAATAGGTTTAACTGTAATAATCACAACTGCAACAATAAAGTAAAGAAAGTAAATATATTCATTTCCAATAAAAATACGACGCATGTCACGGATAAAGGCGGAACGCTAATGTGAAACAAAATTACGGAAAACTGATGATGCAATAACAGAAACACTGCATTGTGAAATGATTGCCGTGAAATGAAATGTGAAATGTTTAGAGATCAGCGCGACGGGTATCTATGTACAGGAAGCCTTATCGAACAAACATGCGAATTTCATCAAATTACACGCACAATTTAACCAGGAATCGTTCACAAATATTCGCTCTTCGTTGTCTTGCATCGCAAAATACTAGAGGCGCAGACAGAAGCCCCTCCAGCGAACACAGGCGGTGTGGATATCTGATCCAGCCATTCATCATCGTTCACCTTTTGCTGCCATTGAGTGCTGTCACGACCAGATAGGAACGCTTGAAGCAGAAAGCGTTTCAAGAGGATAAGAGCCATAATTGAGTGTCAATATGAAGAAAGGAAATGCAGACTGGGAATCTAACTTGAAGACAATGCAGCCCAGTGCACTCGTTGCGGAATGGAATCAAACAAAATACCACTCCAGCCGGAAATGCATTCATCCCTCGATAGTTCAAAACTTTTTATTCGATACTTTTATTTCCGAATCAAGAATACGAAGTCGAAGTACATTATCCATGCATTGTGATATGATTAGCCGAACAAACTTTTCAAACATCATCCTCCAGATTCAAGAGTTTAGCCGGCCCACACAGCCAGAGACAGGCGGGCTTATATTGTAGCTATCCTATCGTCCGTCGGCCGATTTCATCAGACGCGAAATGTGACCTCTCCAGTGACATTAGATTCTAAGCAAAAGCTTTAACACCCACCACCAAGGCCAGTAAAACTGAATTTTGTGGAACCAAGTCCCGATCATGTCGTAATCAAGTCTCACAAAACCAATGCCAATCTATAAAATAACAACAATTAAACAGCTCGATGTTAGCCAAGAGCAAACCCTCCCTCATCAGCCAGTTTCTCCCCAATCGGCCCGCCACTTACCATTTGTTTGACGCCGAATATGACCACATTCTGGTACTGGGTCAAGTCCTGAGAGAACAGGTCAGCCCGCCGGAAAGACGCCATCGGAGAGAGACCCTCCCGGCGAGCCCAGAGCCGTGAGAACAGCACCAGCCACGGGTTCAGCTCGACTCCCACGCTGCGGAAACCGACCGCAGCCGCCGCGATCACCTGGGGTCACAGGAGGGTGCCGGGCGGGTCAACAAAGGTCAGCGAGGGTCACCACCGGTGAGGGTTGTCACAGGCATCATAGACGAGCTGGAAATGACCACGAACGGTCGGTTCGGGCCACGGCCTGGTCAGCAAAGGTCATCCCTGTCGATTCGGCAAGAAGTATGAGTCTCAGGACAATAGCTGGAAACAAACGGAGATCATTGATGGGATAAAAGAGATGACACGAATGTATCTTTCATAACGAAATTTTAAAGGATAAACGGATAATCTATATAAAAAATAATACGAAACCAGCAACTCATTTTAAGACTTCGTTAAAACGGCGTATGTTTGAGAGATGTGGTCGATAGCCACTTCAAAGCGCACCTCAGGGTTCTGCTAACAAGAGACCTATGCAAATGAATCGGCTAGAAGTGATTTATAATGCCACAGAATCCGGTCGAGACCCAGACACCAGTGCATTCTTCGTGCATGAGCGTCATTCTTCATCTCGTAGAAAAATAAAATATACCCTGAAGTGGCGACCGGAGAAAAAATAAGACTAATGATTCTTGGTAAGACTATGTGAGATCATGAAATCATCCCAAAAATATTTATCAGGAGATAAGGCATCACTGATTACGATCCACCTAGCACCAGCCCTGCTTTACATGAGATACACAGTGGTATGGTATCCAAACTAAAAACAGATGCATGTGCTTGAAAACATAGGATTTTTCAGGAAAGTTACTGTTGCTATCGTTGCGATTAATCGCTTTCGTTTTAAATGGCGGGTAACCCGTGCTGTTATCGACACCCGATAGATCAAACGCCGCACCGGACCGCGCAGTTCCCGAAAATTCGACACGCCTCGGGCCCCAGACACCAATTCACACTTCAGTCGATTCATATCCAATCACGGCGGGGCGCTATGAAAAGGGTCAAGCCCTGTTCCAACTATCTTCAGACCGGGGACAGGTCAGGTACATAGCGCTGACTCTGGTTGGACGTTTAGCTGGCTGGCTAGGCGGCGTGGGCGGGCGAAATACTCGTACATGGACTGGTGGCGCGAGGTGTCACCTCCTCGGTAGCCCAAACTCGCATTTTCATCGTCAGCGGATCTGTGGAACGATACACTGTATCGCCAACTCCGGCAGGCTGACCTAAATTCGGGGGATGATTCGGCGCACTGCCAGCGGCCGACTTCGGCCTGCAATCCAGTTCCGATCAGAGTCCCGGACCCGGAGTCGAGCGGCGGAGGAGGCGGAGGCGGCGCGGTGGCCACATTCCGAACAGGGGGGCGGGGCCCACGCGGAAAACTTGGGTCACGTCGGCGGGCCGGCCGGACGTGAGATGCCGCCGCGAGCGGGCGGCGAGGCCTGCCGGCGCGGGGCGGGGCGGGGATGCCCGCCGAGTCGGCGGGGCGGCAGGGGTGCGGTGCAGTCGCTGTGATGACGGCGAGGGAAGTGGAGGGGAAGGGGATCGTAGCCGACAGGGGTTTAACAGGCCGAAAATCGATGAACGAGGCGATGAGCCCTCAGGAGGGATTGGCTGTTGACACCAGCCGTCAAACTCGAAGTCACAACACTCACTCAACCGTGACAAAGAGATAACGAAGACACCCATCGGACTGGTAAATTTCAGTCGGACAGTGAAGAGCAGAAAATTTGCTTCCAACAAAAAATGGAGCTAAACTGAATCGTTTTTATCTTAATTGCCTACAATTTAGAAGGCATTTGTGAGAGTGGAGCATTTGTCACCGATCTCTCGCCGTTAACTGGAGAGCCCGACGGCGCTCGCCACACAAACAAGGGCGTAAATAGCCACCTTAACGGCGGAGACGGTAAGGTATGTTGACGGATCGGATAGGGACGCACGGCGAAGTGAGGGGAGAGAGGGGGAACAACGGGAGGGGGAGGGACGGCGGGAGGCGCATGGCCGCGGGGAGGCAGGGGCGAGAGGGAAGCGGAGAGGGACATGCCAGGCGCCAGTCGACAGAGGGCAGCGAGCGCGGCAAGACGTGCAGCAGTGATTTTTTTTTCGCTCGTGGGTGTGACGCGCAGGCAAGGGAGCTATGGCGAGACGTTCAGTGTTGATCAGTGAAAGAGATGGGAGTCGGCGAGATCGACAGCGGGGGATTCGCACTCGGCGAAGGAGGTTGGAGGCTAGAGGACCGGCAGCAGGTGACCCAAGGGGAAGGGAGTCAAGAACAACAGGTAAGGGGCCATGAACGGCTTGTTTTGCTGTCTTCCGTTGCCCGCCACGAGGGACCGGGATCATGAATGGCGTCCGAACCGAGTGAAAGAGCGCAAGGAAATGCCTCAGGCGCTGACCGGGCTGACGTTAGGTGGTATCTGTTGAGGTGTCGTTTTTCTGCTGTGTTCAGTCAGGACGGGAGCTGACCTGAGTTTGGACCTCATTAATGTTCGAGGACCGATTGTGGTACTTACCTACTAATGTGGCGCCTGCAGGGGCGGTCAGTGGCGAGGTACATACGTATGTAAGTACCTCGCAAACGCACAAGTCAGGCGCATATCGCGGCTAGCGCGCCCTGTAGCACGGACGCAGCCTGTTTGCCTACAGTGAATAGACGCGGGTCTATGGGCCAGCGGGCGTCGCCGGCGGCTAGCCCCATTCGGCGGAGACGAGGGGTGGAGGTCCGACAAACAGCCCGTCTTTTGGGTCAGCAGTGTCCGATGGCGGCGGTCGGGACGGCCGGTTCACAGCCGAGACCGGAGATGATGTTTAGTTAGGACGGCGGCGCAAGGCCGGGACAAACGGGCAGAGGGGCAGGGACAGGGAGCGAAGGAGCGGGATACCGTCTGGAGGGGAGGTGGGGGGGGGGGGGAGGGCAGGCAGTGACTCACCCGGAGGAGAGGGGGAATCACTGGGTTTGTGTTCTACTGTGTTCTACTACGGGTTTGTGTTCTACTGACGTTTCACCGAGTGGGTGTCACACCGCAGGGTCGGGAGTGTCGGCGGTGTGGCCGGGAAGGATCGGGCCGGAATGGCCGGGTGGTCGGCCGATGTGGCCGGGTGGTCGGCTGATGCAGCCGGGTGGTCGGCTGGTGCAGCCGGGTGGTCGGCTGATGCAGCCGGGTGGTCGGCTGATAGAGCCGGGTGGTCGGCTGATGGAGCCGGGTGGTCGGCTGACGCAGCCGGGTGGTCGGCTGATGGAGCCGGGTGGTCGGCTGATGCAGCCGGGTGGTCGGCTGATAGAGCCGGGTGGTCGGCTGATGGAGCCGGGTGGTCGGCTGATAGAGCCGGGTGGTCGGCTGATGCAGCCGGGTGGTCGGCTGATAGAGCCGGGTGGTCGGCTGATGCAGCCGGGTGGTCGGCTGATAGAGCCGGGTGGTCGGCTGATGGAGCCGGGTGGTCGGCTGACGCAGCCGGGTGGTCGGCTGATGGAGCCGGGTGGTCGGCTGATGCAGCCGGGTGGTCGGCTGATAGAGCCGGGTGGTCGGCTGATGGAGCCGGGTGGTCGGCCGATGTGGCCGGTTGGTAGGAACGGATGATGGTATGACGGTTGGTATGGCGGTGGGCGAGGGGTAAGCGCCTAGCGGTACCGGCCGGCCGTGTCAGTGTAACAGCCCATCACCGATACATCAACCTGTCAGTCAGTGGGGTCCGCCCACACGGGGACTGCGCGACCAGGAGAGAGAGGGGTCTTATTCATGACAGACAGCGGGGCACCGCAGACGAGGCGACGGCCATCATCGTGGGTGGCGCGGCCTGCTGAACGCACCGCACACACCGCACGCAGCAGTGTGCGGTGCCCGTGAACACCCCTGTTCACAGACGAGAGAAGAGGAAGGACATGGGAGGTGAGTGAGCATGACTGGGGGTAGAGTGTGGTTGGGTGATTCGGCCGGTACGGCCGCTGGTGAGCCGGGGGAGCGGTCGGCTGGTGAGCCGGGAGCGGTCGGCTGGTAAGCCGGGAGTGGTCGGCTGGTGAGCCGGGAGCGGTCGGCTGGTAAGCCGGGAGTGGTCGGCTGGTAAGCCGGGAGTGGTCGGCTGGTGAGCCGGGAGTGGTCGGCTGGTAAGCCGGGAGTGGTCGGCTGGTGAGCCGGGAGCGGTCGGCTGGTAAGCCGGGAGTGGTCGGCTGGTAAGCCGGGAGTGGTCGGCTGGTGAGCCGGGAGTGGTCGGCTGGCGAGCCGGGAGTGGTCGGCTGGTAAGCCGGGAGTGGTCGGCTGGTGAGCCGGGAGTGGTCGGCTGGTCAGCCGGGAGTGGTCGGCTGGTCAGCCGGGAGTGGGCGGCTGGGGAGCCGGGAGTGGTCGGCTGGTGAGCCGGGAGTGGTCGGCTGGTGAGCCGGGAGTGGTTGGCTGGTGAGCCGGGAGTGGTCGGCTGGTGAGCCGGGAGTGGTCGGCTGGCGAGCCGGGAGTGGTCGGCTGGTAAGCCGGGAGTGGTCGGCTGGTGAGCCGGGAGTGGTCGGCTGGTAAGCCGGGAGTGGGCGGCTGGGGAGCCGGGAGTGGTCGGCTGGTGAGCCGGGAGTGGTCGGCTGGTGAGCCGGGAGTGGTTGGCTGGTGAGCCGGGAGCGGTCGGCTGGTGAGCCGGGAGTGGTCGGCTGGTGAGCCGGGAGCGGTCGGCTGGTGAGCCGGGAGCGGTCGGCTGGTGAGCCGGGAGCGGTCGGCTGGTTAGCCGGGAACTTTTCCGGTCGGGTCATGACCTTGACCAGCAGTCAAATTTTCAAGTTAACATTTAGGAGTTAACTTATGGTCTGTCGACTCGTCTCGACGAGAGGAGTACGATCCTTGCAAAGTAATGTCGTGGCTCTACTGAGTCAAGGTGGTTGGAAAAAAAAAAACATTTTCTGTAAACCAGTTATTTCGTTGTTGTTTTTTTTTTTTGCCCTCTAGAGGCCTGACCGTGGGCATGGGGGTCAAATCTGAGGACGCAATCCGGAAAGAGGGTTAAAAGTGCTATCGAATGCGCTCTTCCGCGGCGCTGTGGCTTTGTTGGTTCTCGAGTTATGTGCCGCTGTTACCATTTTTTTCCAAGTGTTGAACAACACGGAGGTT